GCACAGCCCTGTATAATGTTGTTGCTGATGTTGTTAGGAGAAAATTAATGTTGGTCACTCTTGGGACCTAAGGGGTTAAACAATCAAATTCAGTGAGTTAACCCCAACTTGAGGGATAGGGACATACCTCTTAGGATGTTTCTTGCCGATGTCTGTTGTGTGTTGACCACACAATACTTCCTTTTCCTCTGACACTGCCAGCACACATCCTCGACACTTGCACTGCGAGTACATGTCAATGGGCCTGATTGGTTGCAGATGAGACTGTGGATTCTACAAAACAGAGAATGTTAGCGGCTTAAATCAGCACTGCATTGTTTTTAGTGTGCTAGACTCAGATGGAAAGATCCGATTATTATAGGTTTCTGGGAAACTGCCCACCCACCCCTCCCCTAAGCCAACATTTTGCCCTAAGTGAGAAATAAGTGTTAATGTTGGCTTAAGGGAGGGGTAGGTGGGCAGTTTCCCAGAAACATTATAATGATCTGAAAGATCTAGCTGCAACTAGACATTTTGTGATGCCACCACTTGTATCCTCATGAAATGACATCTGAAGAAAGAGGGAAGAAATTCCATAATGACGAGTTACTACCCAGATCTAGGAAGTCGTTTTGATTGTTTGAAGCATGTTTCGCCCACCTCCACCTCTGCAATACCATTCAGAAACATTACCCAGATCTGTGTAGTGACAGGTCATGAGAATGGAATTTCTATGCTCGTTTCTCAGACATCATTTCTTGGGCAAACTGATGGGGGTGTTGCAAAATGGCTGTTTTTTTTTCTCAGGCTACACGTTACAGTTATGAGAATCACTGCAATGATCACAAAGTAAAACAGGAGTTGATCATTCAACAAATTCTCCTCATTAGCAAGCAAATATTAAATGGCAAACAGACAGGAGAAAATGTATGCTAATGTTAAGGCTTAACTTACAGGAGAAACCTTGTATGGAGATGAAAAAGGTCTGAATCCTTTTCTCCGTTGATGTGGATGGCAGCTATTGAGGAACCAAAATGTTCATATTATTCAGAGCATTTCAACGACAATGACAAACACTTTGAATTGATGCCAGGTAAAATTAATATCCAGACTAGTTTTCATCATTTCACAGAAAGAAATTATGTTTTTCTTTGAAACAAAAATTAATGCCCATCTCACTGACTAAAAAAAACATCTTTAAATTTTGTATGTATTCACCAGGCTTCACCATCACACTTTCAATCTTCTTCAGATTTGTCCATGCCCTCTTTTGTACAGTACGTGCCTTATTGTTTATAACTTCTTTTAACCCCTAAAGTGCCACTAGTGACCAACATCAATTTTCTCCTAATGATATCCATAGATTGTCAAGTGCAAAGTCTAGGAGATTTATGAAAATGATTACAAAGAGATCAATCTTTGATCTTTTATCAAATTCTCTCAACTAATTTCTTAAGCATTGTATGTAGATCAGCCTGGAGAATTTGTATGTAGATACTGGGGCTTATGTTTTCACCAGTTAATTTTGTTACACTCAATTTAGTGGAGTTGAGACCCTGCGTGTGAATTTTGTTTACTATACAACACATCTCCTTTAAAATCTGCTGAACTTACACCCTGGGTTTGTTATCAACTGCTTGGCCATGATTTCTTGCTTGAGGGATATGTGGCAGTTCGTTTTCATAGTTCAGGTCTTCCTGTCAAAAGTAACAGTTTGACAGGTCATTAGTTATTCTTCCTGGAAGAGCCTACCTTACAGATGAAAAAAGAAAAAATCATTTGTTTTCAATGTCCTAGTTACAATCAAAAAATGACAATTTTAGGGAAATGAAATTATAATGAAATTACTTTGAGGGGTCTTAGTTAAATGGACATCGAAGCATCATGGTTGTGCTCTGAGAAAAATTACTGCAGGAATGGATTGAGGTTTATGCAAAACTAAAAATCTCTTAAGATTTCCAAGGGCAATGGTAAGTTGTCAGGGGTAACTCGGTGCTTCTTGAGCACGGCCCTGTTTAAAAGTACTTTGTTCTCATTCTTAAGGCAGTTCTCCAAGTCTAACATTTGTTTGCTCAGCCAGCTTGGAGGACTTTTGGCTGTAGTAGAGAATGTGACTAACATTGAAATTTTTTATATGCCTTGCAATACTGTTAGTAAAGCTAACACCAGGGCCCCCTGGTGCCTAACTATTGCTCTCGAGTAACATCCCATGCTGGGTATCCTGGATTTCACAGGTTCAGGGCACTGGGCTCCCTGCAACTTTTTCTTAAAGCACGGCCTTGATTAGTACAGGGGCCATATAGTGCTTTTCTAAGTCAAGCAGTGAATAAAAGCACAAGATTAAGACACTCACTTCTTCTCTCTGGGTTGATGGTCCTGGCAAACTATCAAGACAAAGGAAAGTTAGCTTGTGATCAGGCTCCCAAGAGGAGTGGGGTAAAAAAGAAAAATCTTAGCCTAACGAGATAGGGATGTGTAACTTGATAACAATGACCTGGAGATCTTGGAATGTCTATCTTTGTTTCCATGCGTACAGCAGATGGGAAATCAGAGAATTCAATGAGCCAGTCTTAAAGTTTAATGATTTCAAGAAACACATTGTTTTGTTATGCAAGACATTATAGGGCAACAAAATAAACTGCAAGGAACGTTGACGTTTTTTGTGTGTGACGTCGGCCTAATAAAGTGAAAATCTTGCCCCAGAAAGCTAAAGACCAAAATTTGTTTAGTTCTGCGTTACATTTAGGTGCTGCTTTTGCACTGAGGCCTTCCACCCTGGGCGTTTATTTGGTCATTCATGGTATTTCATCTGAAAGTATTGGTGATTTAACATGGGAGCACAAGGGTAAAGCGCTTTATTTCTTATTTACCAGTACTCAGTATTTTTTTTTTCAGCAGGACCCAGACCATTGAGTTGAAAAGGTTTAATGTGTGTGCCTTACTTACCTTGTTTTGCCTTTGCTTTGTTGTTCTAACTGTTTAGCAAGTGACGTGACTGTTTGAGAAGCAGTAGGTTGACCCTCAGAGATTGTCTGTAAATATAGATAATCAAAGCAAAAATTCTAGAGGACTGCCTACTTTAGGAAAGTATAACCCCTGCCCCACCCCCCCTCCCCCCGCCCCCTATTGTTCTACAAAAGCAATATTACTGTTAGACCGTGCCAGGCTTTTGGTCAGTGCAGATGAGTGAAAAAAGAAAGCAAGCAGTGAAATAGTGAAGAAATGAAAAACGGCGCAAAAAGAGAAGGGGAGAACCTTTTTAACCCTGTAAGTCCCAAGAGTGACCAACAGCAGTTTTCTTCTAACAATATCCATACATTGTCATGAAATGAGGTTATTTATGAAAATTAATAAAATGATCACCTAAGAAAAAATACTTTGATCTTTTATCAAGAGTTCTCTTAACTAATTTTTACGGGAAATGTATAGAGATCAGTTTGGAGAATTAAAATGTGGATATTGGGGCTTAAAGGGTTAAATACCTCTTTCCACCAACTTCCTGAAAAATTGTTTCCCATCAGGGCGAAAAACTTTCACTCTTTCACTCTCTTTGCCTTGGACAACTGAAACTCATAAAGCAACTCGTCCAACCGGACAAGTAAAATTTATCTTGAGCAATATTCTTTTTTTCTGCTTTGTAAGATCAGGAGTTGATAGCTTGCATAGAATATAGTACCAGTCGCAACCTCAAAATCTAATTTGGCAGCTTTTTATTTTCTTTGGACGAGTGGATTTTATGTTTGGACAACCAAAATCTTCACAGTACTTGTCCGATGGAAAAGTGAAGTGAAAAAAAAGTTTTTTGCCCTGCTCATGACAAAAGTCAAAAGGTGCTGTGTAGGAGGGTTGCACATGATTGACATCTTTGTTAGACTCAGCACACATGAGTGGAACAATACAGCTGGGGCATTTATTTTAAATCAATTTTTGACTTACAGGGAAAACAGTCGCTTCCTTCTTCTTTAGAGACTGTGATAGCAAAAAAAAAGAAAAAACACTGTTATGGGAACTTATCATTTTTTATATCAGCAAAGCTAAATTTTGTTTAAACAAAACACAACTAAAAATAATAACAGAAGCAATATTTATCATCAGAGTGATTATTCATCACAATGTTTTTTTTTTTTTTTGCAACTTATAATTCATTCCAGCCACCATTGTAATCATTACCATTATCATAGTCATTAAAAAATCAATAATCACTATTAGTATTATTAGCATTATCATTATTTACTATTATTAATAATAGCATTAAAAAAAATATAAGAACATCACTATACCTCCATTTCATTTCTTAAAGTAATCAACTCATTTTTAAGGTGAATATTTTCTTCTTGTACTAAAAAGAGAGAGAAACGAAACACACAACAGATTTAATGCAAGAGAATTTCTCCGCGTTACCTACAACAGCTAGAAAACTATGATACCTTACCTTTCAACCAATTTTCTTCGGCTTTCGTCATTTTATTGTGAATCTGTTTTTTACAAAGGAAAGAGCAATCATGTTAAGAGCCTCTTAACAAGAAACATTTTGAGTTCTTCCGCATGTACCGGCACAACAAAAGAAAAACGAAAACCAAACAATAAGTCTCATTTGGAGTTACACTGCTGGTCTTTTTAATGTTTTGTTGTGGTTGTGGTTGTTGTTGTTGTTGTTATTGTTTCATGCACTCTGCACCTGAAAACTGTACAGGAACACATGTATGCAAAAAAATTGGGTCAGCCTGATTATTAGACAAAGCTGGAGGAACATCACCACTTCTTTTGAACGAGAATATTACAATCATCGCTTGCCAAGGCTGACAAAACCTGAGTGGTCATAAAACTCACTTTTTCAAATCGAAATTTTCACATGGGCAAGATACCAGAGAGGGATATGCAAGTATGAGCTTATTTTATGTAGCCATTATAGTATTGTCTCTGCTGGAACAAGTTGCTGCATCCTGCTACAACAAAAATGAGCTTACAATCAAACATACAGTACCTGAACTTCATCTCGTTCTTCAACATCTGGACAAGCTAAGGAACAAGATAATAATTATTACAAAATTTTGCTACATGTTGCAGTTACACCTTGGCCATTTAGGGCTGAACCTCTTGAAGTTTAAGTAATAAATTTTTACAGTTTGGTTCCTCACATTTAGAGTTTGACGCTTAACCTGTGTCACAGATTGACTTAACCCCAGTTAGTAACTCTGAGAAGCAGTGCCAATATCCTTTCTCTGGGCTCCCACAGGACCCAGCCAAATACCAGAAATAAGTCTCAAATTTTAACCTGATTGACAAATCAACAATGGCTTTTTTACACAGGCCAATCATGGTGCGTACTAAAATCCTGGTACACAGATGGGGTGCAGAAAAAGGATTTTGTCACTGTTTCGCAGGCAGAATTCACCAGAGCAAAGTTTTGTCTGTGGCCCAGGCTATTCGATGCGAGTCACACACCCATCTAAACTGCACAAGGTAACAACATCCCTTCATCAAAATTTCAAACAAAAATTACTGTGTCTAACCTTTGTCCGAGACATCCTTTACAGGTGTCCAGTTTGCATCAGTTGGTGAGATTTCTGTCTGGTCTGCCTGTGCAGCTTGTTGACTTGAATTCCTGACATACACTTCCTTGAGAAGGGGACTTGTGGTTCGACTAACTTGGACTGGTTTAACCTGGATTGCCTGTTGAAATAAAAATTAACTCATCACCAATAGATTTACTTGGGTGCTGGGGCCTACAGGGCTGGTGGAGCCAGGCAATGTGTTAGCACAAGGAAGGAAGTATCCATTGCAACCCTGTGAGGGGACCCACCAGGCACTGCCATGCTGAACTGTTCAGTGAAATACTTACCAACCAATCCTTACCTAGCCCCGAGTTAGAGTGGGAGCGGGGGTTGGGAAAAACAGCACAAAAATGGCAAGCAAGCAACAAGACTATAGCAACACTTTGTGAAGAACTGAAAGCAAGAAACTGTGTGCACAAGTCATGAGGTGTCCCTGCTAGAGGGAATCAGACGACCCTGAGCATAATTGAGAAAAATGCTGCCCAGCATTGCAGGTTAACTTTGCCTAAATTTTATTTAGCCACATTTTTTTAATACCACGACAATTACCCAGTCCATCTATATACAGTCAACTGTCTCTTAGGCAGACACCTATTGGGGGACTGGTATTAATTTTTAATTGTACATTTGTTTTTAGTAATTCTTATTTTTCTCATAACTGTAGTATGCACGACCCCACCAGCACTGCTGATCTTCTTATCCTGTTGAAATAAAATACTTATCTACCTATCTAAGATAAAATAAAGGCATTCATAAGATACTTTACCTTGGTTTCAGTGTATCCAGCAGTGAGTGAACCATTTTTCTTTGACCTAGCTCTGCACCTCAGAAGCTCTTTATTCTGAAGGTTAATGATTTGTTCCAGCCTACAAAAAAGAAACCAAGAATAATAATATTAACTACAGTCGACTCCCGATAATTCGAAACTTCAACGGAAAAAGGAAAAAGTTTGAGTTATCGGGAGTTCGAGTTATCGAGGGTAAAATTATATAGAAAACTATCTGAAGAGAAATGAAAATTGCTTCAAGTTGGTGGGAGGTTCAAGTTATAGAGGGTTCGAGTTACCGGGAGTCGACTGTATCACAAGAAGTAATGACAGCCATTCCTGCATTATAGCTATATATCTGCAAGTGATTCACAGGTCAGCTATTGGCCAATTTTTTTTTTCTGTCCCCAGCAACAATCCAGCAAGTAGCTTGAGAAAACAGCTGACATTTGGCAATGTTACCACTGGTTTCCCCGCCAAATGGCGTCTGAGAAACGAGGGCACAAATCCCCTACTGATGACGCGTCACTACCCAGATCTGGGTAGTGCTTCGATCTGATTGGTTGAATCAACTTTCCCATGGCATGATCAATCAGAAGCACCACCCAGACCCCATCATCAGTATGGAATGTCTGCACTCATTTCTCAGACGTTATTTGGTGGGGAAACCAGTGGTGGTGTCGCCATTGAAATGTCAGCTGTTTTCTCCAGCTATCCAGGAAGTATTTGTGAAAGTTAATTCGGCCCAGTTTAATCCTTCTGGTTTCTTAAGTGCCTAATTCCCAACCTGCCCTAAAAAAAATGTCTGCTTAACCCTATAAGAACCAACATCCACATGCAAATGATCCTGACTGACCTCCATACATTCCTTAGAAAACTGGGTGAGAGAATTAGATAAAAGATCAAGGCATTTTCCCTCTTCTCTCGATGACCAGTATGTATTGAAATATTGTTCAAAAGAAAATTGATGTAAGTCGCTTTTGGGACAGTCCACTCTCAGTTCCCTACCCCTCTGTTTCCTTTCACACTGTTTAGAAGGTAAAAGCTATGAGAAATATCAAAGCGGCCATAAAGAACAGCTATTTTTCACCTCCTCCATACAGCTTTCCCCCACTGGAGTCACAGTTAATAAGGGTACGTGCATTGAAATATATAAAATTGCAGCTGATTTATATTTTTCAGTCTGTAGTTTGACCAGCATGCACGCTAAAGTGAAAATAAATCACCTTAAAATTAAAGTACAAGAACATTCTCCATACTCTATTTATTTACCCCTCTGTTAAGGTGGATTTCTACAGTCTTGGGCCCAGTTCCTCAAAAGATGGTTAAGTTTCACCTAGAATTATGGCAAATTTCAAGCGCGGTTTTCTCATCTAAGAACACGCAATTCGAGGTCACAAAATACTGTTGAGCCTTAACTCCAATGGAACAAAATTTTAATCCTGGATTAACGCAAATCGGCCTTTCAGGAACCCGGCCTTTAATTTTTGTGAGGCTCTGGACATAAACTTTAGCCCTTTACCTTCTAGACAAATTATGACGAGACTTTTTGTCGCTTCAACTTTTAAATCTGTGAAGCAAATCCTATGATGTTACCATTTTAATGAAACATATTTGGCAGAACTTTTGCACTATAATAACTATTTCTTAGGGTAAATTTAAAAAAGTAATTTTTAACTTTTTTGTGATTTTTTCTTCTTTGACTGACTTTGCGTCCATAAATAGAACAAAGACAATGACTTTTGTATGAAAGGTTGCATGCAAACGTGATAAGGTTCAGTGAACTTGCACCAGGCTGAAATACGTGGAATTTGCTTCAAAATTAGGCACTTACAAATGAACAATACTGATTTTCTGTAAGCAATATAAGACTTTCTCAGTGATCCTACCAACACTAATGGAAATTCAAAATTGTGGTTACAGTTGTAAGGCTGTCAGTGAAGGTATAACATTCATTTAGCAGCACACCTTATTTATGCAGCTGTGTTTTGATTATTTTCTCCAGTGTCAAAGGTAATGGAAACAAAAGGGCTGCCGCCAGTTGCAAAATAAGAAGATTTCAAGTTTTTTTTTTTTCATAATCTAAATCATCTGAAAAAAATTGGATATCAGTTTAACAGAGATAACAAAACAGTTATTGGTTTAAAGTTCACTGAACTCAGGAAAATCTAAACAGGCACAAGGTGAACTCTGCTTTGACTTGTCTAGCAAAATTCTTTAAAACATAAAGGATTCTTTTTCTTTAAGTCAAAAGGTGTTTCATGCAGTCTAGACGAAACCACCTTTAGGGCCCAGATGGCAAATTCAAAAATAACTAGAGATTCAGACTGATTAACTGCATGACCTAGCTGAACTGCTGAACAAATATGCCACAAAAAGCATCCAAAAGACTTGTGTGCATCTTGTCGTAAAAAGAAAATTGCTCAAGTACGATCATAAACTAGCCACAGGGCTAAAGAGCTAAGTTGAATTGAATGATCATACCAAAGGACTGACCAAAAAGTTTCAAGCTTGTCATAAAACGTCTATCTTCACAACTGGCTGTGGTTTTGAAAAGGTTAAGTTTATTTGCATCGAATAACAGTACCCTTAATTCTTTACACTTACGTCTGAATAAACTTATGAATATTTTGAGTCAAGTAAATTTTTCTGACTTATCCCTTCACAACCAACTAGCATTCTTTAATTTTAAGGCAACTTATCTTTATTTTCTCCAGGGGGGTTAATTAATTAAGCTTGATTGACATGTTTCATCTGCATCAAAGCTCAAGAAACCATACATTTTTTGTAAGTCAGACAAAAGGATGGGTTTCCAAGTCAATTGAAACTTCACTGAATTATTTCAACTTTCCAACTTGAATGAGATGCAAAGTAAAGTAACTTGAGATTTTACTTAGGCCTCCACACGATGAACAGCCAAGAGCATGCGCACTAGGACCTTCAATTACATTTTGGGGAATAAAAATAATGGACAACACAACACCCAAAACTTAGGTCAAGAAGTCTGCTTTCCTAGTGTCTTTGACTACCACAATATATTAGAATGCTAGAACATTTATAAAATGTAACTAAATTATACTAACAATCTTTAGTATCTTTAGTGAGCTTTTGCTGCTGAGACAACAGAAGTTAGTTACATATTACATGTACTTATCAAAATTTAGAAACAAGTGTCTTTAGATGGTATATTTAGTTTCCACACAGGAAAAGACAAGAAAGAGTATAGCTACAAAGAGCCATAATGACTGCAAATTAAATGTGGCAATCAACATAATATGTAGGCAAAAGTTTCCCCCTTTTCAATGTCAAATGATCCAAAGGGTGGTCCCTTACGTACTGTGTTATTTTACTGTTGCATATTGCATTACAGGTAAGATATTCATTGCAAATCATTTGCTTGAAGGCTGATTGGCACCAACCCAAGTCTAACCCACATATCAGTAACTTAGTTATCGGAGTTGTCTTAATTGGGTTGTTATTTTTGGCTTAATATAACTGGATCTCTGATCAAAGTCCATTTAACCTAACTCAAGCCCAAGGTTTAAGTTAATCATCTTTTGCCCAGCTTGGCAATAATAAGCTACTCAACATTAGGGGCGGCTGCAAGTCTAAGAACCCAATGATTTCTTCAAATAAAGCTACCAGATTCATCATTGTGGTCAAAGGCGATCGGTGCAAACCCAACATTAAAATTTCAACCCTTAAACACCCTAAGGTGAATGGCATTTTTTCTTCAAATGTCAAGTCAATGAAGACTCTGACCTCTGTGTGATATACTATTTGAATGCTATTGATGAGAATATGGAAAATCGCACCAGCTTATGGTTTTCAAAAAAATAATTTAAAAAAAAATCAAATCAAATCATAAGGCTTGTATAATCTACTACTGTATTAGGCATACCCCTAAACTTTACGTTGCTTTGCAGCTCTTTGTCCACCACAGATGTTGATTGGATCAATGAAAAAAAGCTTTAGCCGTATCTCTCTGGCAAAAATACTGTTCATGGTACAGTCTGCCATGATGAGCTTTACTACGACTTAAAGGAAGCACAGTACCAAAATGTCAGTGATGGTAGACAATTTTATTGCAGGGCCATCACACTGTTATCTTTAAATTACTGCTTGATACATGTATTTTATTTGCACAGATACCCTGATTATAAACCTCCATACTTTCTTCTCGGAAAGCACTACACAGGCCTTCCCTGTTTTGTAAATCCATCCCAAACTGTTTTGTCTAGTTGCCATCTTTACTTTTTTATTTAACCAAGGAAGAGCTGGAACTTAGCATTCCATAATATAAATGGCGAGGCTTTTGTTCATTAATCCAATCAACAATCAAACGTTGAATCAAAGCTCAATTTAAATATTAGATTATTCATTTTATGAAAGGATTATTGAGCCAATGAAAGGAATCAATTTTCCATTAACCAATTCATTGCTTTATTAACAATGAGAATGCTTGGCCAGCTTGGACGGACTGTAAAGACTCTAAATACACACACTGAAAAACACGTAAAAATCAAACGCTATGGAGTGAGTTTGTGCAATCTTGATCCCAGGCAAGTTGGTGAAGGTGTCATTTGCCTTTGTTAAATCAACAGGGAAGCCAGATGGCGATCAAGTCCCAAGATATGTTCAAATAATGATGGTTGTCCCATACAATCTCACTGCAATTTTTACTAGGAAAGCGTTCTCCTACAATGATAACAACAAAAGATTGTGCATAGCCGGAGTGCTCTGCAGAGTCTTTGCTTTTATCTTTGATTTTGCTGGCTTTCACAAAAACTCTCTCCAACTAAGTCAGAGAGCAAGGAAAATCTGTTTTAGAGCTTGCAAGTGCAATCTGGTTGGGTAAACCTGAGCTAAATTCCTGGCTGGAGCAACACTGAAGCCTTATTTTGAGCACCAAACATGGTGCACGAATCTTTACACAAAAAGATGCAATAATTCAAGTTGCCACTGTTAGATGCAGGAACTAATAATACTCACTAATTAAGCAGCAGTTTAAAAAAAGTTGAAAGCTGAATAAGCAAATGTGTACAGATATCATGAAAGCCATTGCTTTCTACCACATCTGTACCCTTGGAATTAGGTTTACAAGTCACCTACAGATGTATGAGAAAACCTTGATCACGTTGTCATGAAAACTGCACAATAGAAATTTCTAAATTATTATTATTATTATCACTTCCAGGATGTCAATAATCTTCAAATAATTATTTTCATACTTCCCTGAATTACAAGACTTGTGTTAAGGAAGTAATACTACTAAATTCCGGCAATGGGAATCTGTATTTAAATACTGGGGATAAAATTTTCTTGTTTCTTAACTCACTAACAGTAGAGCTTGTAGAAATGTTACGTTTGTCGGTTGTGACCATAAAATTGTAGTACAGTCGACTCCTGGTAACTTGAACCCTCTACAACTCAAACCTCCCGCTAACTCAAAGCAATTTTCATTTCCCTTCAGATCCTTTTCTTGTCCGGCACTAGTGGACGGGACTTTTTTCGAGCCCGGCATATGTTTGCAAAGCGGGTAAGAAAGAGTCCACAGAGGTTAGAGAGGTGGTGAAAATTCTTTAAACTTTGACTTTGTGATAAACTTGCTCAATCTCTTACACAATGACCCACAATAACCAAAACTGAATCGTGTGTGCATTCTCAGGAAGAAAACATAAGAAGTTGAAGTGCATCTTAAGTACAAAATAGAGCTGCTGCCCTACACGGGAAACACATGTTTGTTCTAAAGGATTATATATAAACTTCCTTGAGCACTTTAATCCTTTCACTGCCAGAATGCTTGATGGAGTTTTGTATGGTGACTCTAACTTTTGAGTCTGCAGACGAAATTCTGTGATGTGACCATTTAAATGAAAGCTCTCCTCCTGTACTTACACGGTGCTATTTGTTTTTCCAAATTTCAAAAAATGAAATTTGGACATTTGGTTGGCAGCGGGAGGGTTAAGATAAGGCAAAGGAGCTTAAAATACCATATACGAGTCAGATTGCTCAAAGGAGAAAGCCTTTTGACAGTAATGGAGCATCATGGCACTTGTTAGCACTCAGTTTTTTCAAAGATCCCACAACTTTGCTTGGGACTGGAAGTGTAGATGTGAAGCAATTTTATGCAAGGCATATGACGAATAATGATACAAAGTCAAAAAGTGTTGTAACGATGTGAAATATAATAGTTTTTTTTTGTAGCATTGTTTAAAAATACCAGCACGTGATATTTTATTATACATTCATGTAAAAAAAAATGTCTTTCATCTCTTATGATACCATGTTTCCCAACTTACCCTCTAAATTAGCTAATCAAGAGGCACAGTAACTACCTTTTCAGATAATATGAAGTTGCAAACAGTAAACAAAGTTGAAACAAGACCCATTAATGATGCCATACCAAAACCATCTAAAGTTCCCAAAAACATGGCTCGGCAAAAGATGATGGTGTGCAAGGACTTCCTTCCATGCTAACCACATGATGAGAAAATGCCAATTATGATGAAAGAATATCGTCCTGCTGATAATTATTTGGGCTGTTAGCCAGAGACCTGACCTCATAGAAGCATGCACACATAAATTTTCATTCCATATACCTTATTTTTTAGTGCAGAGACAACTAATAAATTAATGGTTTATGCACTTCACACTTACAGTTTTGTTTGTTTGCACACTCAATGCGACAGTGGTTGAGACTTAAGTAATATACCAAGCATGAGACGCAGTGCTTTATCACCAGATCAAACACCAAGAAGAGAGTCGAAAATACAAAGTGCAGTGGAGTTTTTTTTTTACTAACTTCGAGGTGTTTAAACACTGTGTTGAATGCTTGATGTTACTTCTACAACAAAATGATTTTAGAAGGAGAAATTAAGGATTCAAAAATGAGCAGTTTTTCATCTGATTAAACATTAATTTCATTGTATTTTCTTTATGAATTATTGATGAGTTTGAGAAGAGCACGTGATAACATGGAATAGCTCTTACTGGTTGTTCATCTGTCTTGCACGTACATGTTACAAGTCAAATTCGATTTCAGGTTTAATTTTTTAAACCTAGGTTGATTCTCAATTTCCTTTATCACCTAGTCATGATTATTCATGTATTAGGACTAGGAAACAAAGGAAATTGAGAATCAACCTCAGTTAAATCAAAATTTATCTGAAATCAAATTTGACCCGCAACATACACATGCCAATTAAACCACGGTACATGGTTCTCATTAAGTGCTTGCAGCCGACTAAAAAACCGGCTACTTGGAGGTTTGAGCAGTCTACTTTTTGGGGAAATAGGATAAAGTGAGAGAGTGGAAGCCTGAAATTGCCTACGGCACTCAACTGGCAAGCCGCCTACTTTTACATCCTAGCTGTCTACTTTAAAACTTAATGAGAACCCTGACAGTACCTGTTGCTATAAAAGAAGACAAAATCAAAGAATCTATCTCCTTTACAACAGGCTTAGCACTGCAGATCAATGATGGAAAAAAGTACTTTAGCCTTACAACGAACCAGCTGGAGAAATACCTCCTCAATTTAACACAGGTTTTTAAACTCATTAATAATCATGAAAAATATACGGAAATGCAAGGGTGAAGGACTGGTTTGGATATCAGATCTTCGTCATGAACATTCCGCCAGCTTTATAGCTTTCAATTTTGTCAAGAATTATTCTTTCTTTGAAAAGCTACATCACTAAATTCAAAATTGTGGTTACAGTTGTAAGGCTGTCAGTGAAGGTATAACATTCATTTAGCAGCACACCTTATTTATGCAGCTGTGTTTTGATTATTTTCTCCAGTGTCAAAGGTAATGGAAACAAAAGGGCAGCCGCCAGTTGCAAAATAAGAAGATTTCAAGTTTTTTTTTTTTCATAATCTAAATCATCTGAAAAAATTGGATATCAGTTTAACAGAGATAACAAAACAATTATTGGTTTAAAGTTCACTGAACTCAGGAAAATGTAAACAGGCACAAGGTGAACTCTGCTTTGACTTGTCTAGCAAAATTCTTTAAAACATAAAGGATTCTTTTTCTTTAAGTCAAAAGGTGTTTCATGCAGTCTAGACGAAACCACCTTTAGGGCGGGGATGGCAAATTCAAAAATAACTAGAGATTCAGACCGATAAACTGCATGACCTAGCTGAACTGCTGAACAAATATGCCACAAAAAGCATCCAAAAGACTTGTGTACATCTTGTCGTAAAAAGAAAATTGCTCAAGTAAGATCATAAACTAGCCTCAGGGCTAAAGAGCTGAGTTGAATTGAATGATCACACAAAAAAGGACTGACTCAGAAGTTTCAAGCTTGTCATAAAACGTCTATCTTCACAACTGGCTGTGGTTTTGAAAAGGTTAAGTTTATTTGCATCGAATAACAGTACCCTTTACACTTACGTCTGAATAAACTTATGAATATTTTGAGTCAAGTAAATTTTTCTGACTTATCCCTTCACAACCAACTAACATTCTTTCATTCTAAGGCAACTTAACTTTATTTTCTCCAGGGGGGTCAAGCTTGATTGACATGGGTTAAGCTTGATTGACATGTTTCACCTGCATCAAAGCTCAAGAAACCACACATTTTTTGTAAGTCAGACAAAAGGATGGGTTTCCAAGTCACTGGAAACTTCACTGCATTATTTCAATTTTCCAACTTGAATGAGATGCAAAGTAAAGTAACTTGAGATTTTACTTAGGCCTTCACACGATGAACAGCCAAGAGCATGCGTACTAGGACCTTCAATTACTTTTGGGGAATAAAAATAATGGACAACACAACACCCAAAACTTAGGTCAAGAAGTCTGCTTTCCTAGTGTCTTTGACTAGCACAATATATTAGAATGCTAGAACATTTATAAAATGTAATTAAATTATACTAACAATCTTTAGTACTAAAAAGAAGCTGAGCTTTTGCTGCTGAGACAACAGAAGTTAGTTACAGATTACATGTACTTATCAAAATTTAGAAACAAGTGTCTTTAGATGGTATATTAATTTTAGTCTCCACATAGGAAAAGACAAGAAAGAGTATAGGTACAAAGAGCCATAATGACTGCAAATTAAATGTGGCAATCAACATAATATGTAGGCAAAAGTTTCCCCCTTTTCGATGTAAGTGATCCAAAGGGTGGTCCCTCATGCTCACTGAGTTATTTTACCGTTGCATATCGCATTACAGGTAAGATATTCATTGCAAATCATTTGCTGGAAGGCTGATTGGCACCAACCCAAGTCTAACCCACATATCAGTAACTTACTTATCGGAGTTGTCTTGGGTTGTTATTTTTGGCTTAATATAACTAAATCTCTGATCAAAGTCCATTACACCTAAGTCAAAGTTTAAGTTAATTATCTTTTGCCCAGATTGGCAATAATAAGCTACTTAACATTAGGGAGGGCTGTAAGTCTAAGAACCCAACGATTTCTTCAAATAAAGCTACCAGATTAATATTACTGTGGTCAAAGGCGATCGGTGCAAACCCAACATTAAAATTTCAACCCTAAAACCCCTAAGGTGAATGGCGTTTTTTCTTCAAATGTCAAGTCAATGAAGACTCGGCCCTCTGTATGATATACTATTTGAATGCTATTGATGAGAATATGGAAAATCGTACCAGCTTATCAAAGAAATGATTAAAAAAAAATCAAATCAAATCATAAGGCTTGTATAATCTACTACTGTATTAGGCATACCCCTAAACTTTTCGTTGCTTTGCAGCTCTCTGTCCAACACGGATGTTGATTCTATCAATGTAAAAAAGCTTTACCTGTATCTGTTTGGCAAAAATAGTGTTCATGTTACAGTCTGCCATGATGAGCTTTACTTCGACTTAAAGGAAGCACAGTACCATAATGTCAGTGATCGTAGACAATTTTATTGCGCTGCCATCACACTGTTATCTTTAAATTACTGCTTGATACATGTATTTTATTTGCACAGAAACCCTGATTATAAACCTCTATACTTTCTTCTCGGAAAGCACTAGACAGGCCTTCCCCGTTTTGTAAATCCATCCCAAACTGTTTTGTCTAGTTGCCATCTTTACTTTTTTTTTAACCAAGGAAGAGCTGGAACTTAGCATTCCATAATATATATGGCAAGGCTTTCGTTCATTAATCCAATCAACAATCAAACGTTGAATCAAAGCTCAATTTAAATATTGGATTATTTATTTCATGAAAGGATTATTGAGCCAATGAAAGGAATCAATTTTCCATTGACCAATTCATTGCTTTATTAATGATAAGAATACTTGGCCAGCTTGGACGGACTGTAAACACTTAAAACACACACACTGAAAAACACGTAAAAATCAAATGCTATGGAGTGAGTTTGTGCGATCTTGATCCCAGGCAAGTTGGTGAAGGTGTCATTTGCCTTTGTTAAATCAACAGGGAAGCCAGATGGCGATCAAGTCCCAAGATATGTTCAAATAATGATGGTTGTCCCATACAATCTCACTGCAATTTTNCAAATGCTATGGAGTGAGTTTGTGCGATCTTGATCCCAGGCAAGTTGGTGAAGGTGTCATTTGCCTTTGTTAAATCAACAGGGAAGCCAGATGGCGATCAAGTCCCAAGATATGTTCAAATAATGATGGTTGTCCCATACAATCTCACTGCAATTTTTACTAGGAAAGCATTCTCCTACAATGAATACAACAAAAGACTGTGCATAGCCGGAGTGCTCTGCAGAGTCTTGGCTTTTATTTGTCTTTGATTTTGCTGGCTTTCACAAAAACTCTCTCCAACTAAGTCAGAGAGCAAGGAAAATCTGTTTTAGAGCTTGCAAGTGCAATCTGGTTGGGCAGGCCTGAGATAAATTCCCGGCTAGAGCAACACTGAATGGTTATTTTGAGCACCAAACATGGTGCACGAGTCGAGTTAGATGCAGGAACTAATAATACTCACTAATTAGGCAGCAGTTTAAAAAAGGTTTATAACTGAATAAGCAAATGTGTACAGATATCATGAAAGCCATTGCTTTCTACCACATCTGTACCCTTGGAATTAGGTTTACAAGTCACCTACAGATGTATGAGAAAACCTTGATCACCTTGTCATGAAAACTGCACAATAGAAATTTCTACATTATTATTATTATTATTATCACTTCCAGGATGTCAATAATCTTCAAATAATTATTTTCATACTTCCTTGAATAACAAGACTTGTGTTAAGGAAGTAATTCTACTAAATTCCGGCAATGGGAATCTGTATTTAAATACTGGAGATAAAATTTTCTTGTTTCTTAACTCACTAACAGAAGAGCTTGTAGAAGTGTTATGTTTGTTGGTTGTGATCATAAAATTGTAGTACAGTCGACTCCCGGTAACTCAAACCCTCTACAACTTAAACCTCCCGCTAACTCAAAGCAATTTTCATTTCCCTTCAGATCGTTTTCTTGTCCGGTACTATTGGACGAGACATTTTTCGAGCCCGGCATATGTTTGCAAAGCGGGTAAGAACGAGTCCACAGAGGTTAAAGAGGCGGTGAAAATTCTTTAAACTTTGACTTTTTGATAAACTTGTTCAAACTCTTACACAATGACCCACAATAACCAAAACTGAATCGTGCGTGCATTCTCAGGAAGAAAACTAAAGAAGTTGAAGTGCATCTTAAGTACCAAATAGAGCCGCTGCCCTACACGGGAAACACATGTTTGTTCTAAAGGATTATATATAAACTTCCTTGAGCACTTAAATCCTTTCACTGCCGGAATGCTCTCACTTTTGAGTCTGCGGACGAAATTCTATGATATGACCATTTAAATAAAAGCTCTCCTCCTGTACTTACACATGGCGTAATTTGTTTTTCCAAATTTCACAAAATGAAATTTGGACATTTGGTTGGCAGCGGGAGGGTTCAGAGAAGGCAAAGGAGCTTAAAATACCATATACGAGTCAGATTGCTCAAAGGAGAACGCCTTTGAAAGTAATGGACCGTCGTGGCACTTGTTAGCACTCAGTTTTTTTAAAGATCCCACAACTTTGCTTGGGACTGGAAGTGTAGATGTGAAGCAATTTTATGCAAGGCATATGACGAATAATGATACAAAGTCACAAAGTGTTGTAACAATGTGAAATATAATAGTTTTTTTAGTAGTATTGTTTAAAAATACCAGCACGTGATATTTTCTTATTTAAAAAAGGTCTTTTGTCTCTTATGACACCATGATTCCCAACTTACCCTCTAAATTAGCTAATCAAGAGGCACAGTGACTACCTTTTCAGAAAAAATGAAGTTGCAAACAGTAAGCAAAGTTGAAACAAGACCAATAATGCCATACCAAAACCATTTCAAGTTCCCAAAAAAATGGCTCGGAAAAAGATGATGGTGTGCAAGGACTTCCTTTCATGCTAACCACATGATGAGAAAATGCCAACTATGATGAAAGAATATTGTCCTGCTGATAATTATTTGGGCTGTTAGCCAGAGACCTGACCTCATAGAAGCACGCACACATAAATTTTCAATCCATATACCTTATTTTTTTAGTGCAGAGACAACTAATAAATTAATGATTTATGCACTTCACTGCAAGCTCAAGGTAACAGTGGCTGCATGACTTTCAAGTAATATATCAAGCATGAGACGCTGTGCTTTATCACCAGATCAAACACCGAGAAGAGAGTCGAAAATACAAAGTGCAGTGGAGTTTTTTTTACTAACTTCGAGGTGTTTTATCTGGTGATGAAACACTGTGTTGAATGCTTGATGTTACTTCTAAAACAAAATGATTTTAGAAGGAGAAATTAAGGATTCAAAAATGAGCAGTTTTTCATCTGATTAAACATTAATTTCATTGTATTTTCTTTATGAATTATTAATGAGTTTGAGAAGAGCACGTGATAACATGGAGTAGCTCTTACTGGTAATTCACCCGTCTTGCACGTACATGTTACAGGTCAAATTCGATTTCAGGGTAAATTTTTTTAACCTGGGTTGATTCTCAATTTCCTTCATCACCTAGTCATAATTATTCATGTATTAGGACTAGGAAACAAAGGAAATTGAGAATCAACCTCGGTTAAATCAAAATTTATCTGAAATCAAATTTGACCCACAACATACACATGCCAATTAAACCACGGTACATGGCATTGCTGGCAGCCGGCTAAAAAACCGGCTACTTGGAGGTTTGAGCAGTCTACTTTTTGGGGAAATAGGATAAAGTGAGAGAGCGGAAGCCTGAAATTGCCTACGGCACTCAATTGGCAAGCCGTCTATTTTTACTTCCTAGCTGTCTACTTTAAAACTTAATGACTGAGAACCCTGACAGTACCTGTTGCTACAAAAGAAGAGAAAATCAAAGAATCTATCTCCTTTACAACAGGCTTAGCACTGCAGATCAATGATGGAAAAAAGTACTTTAGCCTTACAACGAACCAGCTGGGGAGAAATACCTCTTCACTTTAACACAGGTTTTTAAACTCATTAATAATTCATGAAAAATATACGGAAATGCAAGGGTGAAGGACTGGTTTGGATATCAGATCTTCGTCATGAACATTCCGCCAGCTTTATAGCTTTCAATTTTGTCAAGAATTATTCTTTCTTTGAAAAGCTACATCACACATAGGATTCAGTGTTTCGTGAGAAGTCCAGACATTTTCAAGTGGGTCAAAAAAAATCCTCCATGCACAGCAACTTGCTTGCTGACTTTTTCAGTCACTTCCAGGTGTCTATGGAACATAGGAAGAAACACTGTCTCGTGGCCAAAACAGGTTTACNTCATGAAAAATATACGGAAATGCAAGGGTGAAGGACTGGTTTGGATATCAGATCTTCGTCATGAACATTCCGCCAGCTTTATAGCTTTCAATTTTGTCAAGAATTATTCTTTCTTTGAAAAGCTACATCACACATAGGATTCAGTGTTTCGTGAGAAGTCCAGACATTTTCAAGTGGGTCAAAAAAAATCCTCCATGCACAGCAACTTGCTTGCTGACTTTTTCAGTCACTTCCAGGTGTCTATGGAACATAGGAAGAAACACTGTCTCGTGGCCAAAACAGGTTTACTTTTTCAAAAATTTATTTAGCCACATTTTTATGGTTTCATGTTATCAAAGCTATCACACAGATGTCTACTTTTCTATGAACATGTCTGTCCCATCTTATTAAGGTAAAAAAAAAGGGAACTGAGGGCAAAGGGCCTGCGAATTCAGACACGTTCATGGCAGATTAAAATAAAATAAAAAAAGCAAAACAAAAAACAATCAAGCAAGCAAAAATCTAGGGTATTGCTCATCCTTTTGAATGGCAATTGCTAGAAAAAAAAGCACCCAAAATAAAAACACCACTGAAAATTCAGCTAGAGACATTCATAAATTTTTAGCAGATCAGAAACAAAAAACTTGTTGAATGTGCATGCGCACCGGAAAATGGCACATGTATCCTTTTTGTAAGGCTTTACTGTTCTGAGCCGGCCTTAACTTTAACTAGAATTTTCCCTCCTCCTTAATTATCCGAAAATTGTTTTGCAAAATTTGCCACAAACTGTGCATGGCCCTTAATTGCAGCTGACCCCCTTTGCAAGCAATATTTTTAGTTCAAGTGCACGCAATTTGCTTCCTTTTCACAGCCTTATTTTATGTTCATAGTTGCTCTTGAAAACCTGCCAAAAAAACACTTGCTTTTTGACGCTCTGCAAATAATCAAACTGTTTGTCAAAGTTCGGAGAGTCAAAAGGGCTAATAACGAAATAGCTTGAAAAAAAAACGATGGAAATCAAGGCTGCTCTGTTCTAGCACAGTGTCATCTGTTTTTTTCAAAAGATAATAGAAAACCGGGTCACGTATCTTGCTAAAAGCGAAAGTCAAAACAAGTTGGGCTTATAAGATTATTGTTTGCCTTCAAAATTCCATTTCCGAGTGTTTGCCTTCCCTTCTCACTTCAAATCTCTATTTCTGATTTCGACAGGGAAACGAAATTACAGCTCCGTCTAAGTTATTTTCTGCGTAGACGATTCATCGACAAAGGAAATAAAAAGGCGAACGCGATGGATGATCTCACAAGCAGTTGTGACCTTTTGAAACTTGAGTGCCCACGTATTATCGTAAGCGACACAAAAGAGATTTCACCATGGAAAACAAAAGCGAATTTTATTAGTAATTGCTAAAATTCAAACAAAACTGACTCGCATCGCTAGGCAAGCCCAAAGAAAAGGTAATTACGTGATTTAAGTGTTTAATAATGCGGCACAGCCCCGATATCAAGCTTCCTTTCAAGACAAAGAACTATCAATTACATAGTTTATGAAACAAAAATTTCCCGAAATCTAAACAACAGATTGCAGCTGAACAATAACAGTTACATGTACAGACGCATTGTTCTATCAGAAAAACAGAATGAACAGCCTAATAAAAAATTAAATGAGGCCGTGGTTTATGGTGACACCTCAAGGGACACGAAGCTCGATGGAGCAGTTGTATGCAAGCTCCATCTTGTTTAATCAAAAGCCAATTTGCTTTCGAACATGTTGATAATTTTTCATTGCAAAACGGAAGGCTAGGAGATAAAGCGGTTATTAAAAAAAGACATTGTCGAACGGTTGTACTGCCTTTCTGGGAGATTTCTTTTCTGTGCTGAAAATGACTTCTTCACCGTGGTGAGGTGGTCGAGAAAGAACCATAATACAACAACAGCTACAACTACTTTACAACACCGTGACCGATCAAGTTTTTTTCGAGGGTTATTAAAACGCCTTGTCTCCATCAGATAAAATCTTTCTTTGATTATTCTTTTCGAGTACAACAAAATGACTTACCTTCGGTTTTTCTGCAAAAGACTAGTGACCTCTGTGCAAATTGATACAGCGCCTTTAAAGCCTGGACGTTTTCTCGTTGCATTGAGGACGATCTCGACAGCTTTTTTGGCGATTACTCTGTCTTCGTAGCTTTCAAACGCTCGTTCTGGCAAAAGAAAAGAATTATAGGCCTGAATGTACAATTTACGCACCATTTTGCGACGGAAATCAGATAAAAATCTCATCAAGCCACGAGAATGCACGACGAACTTTTTAATAGCTTACCCAAACTTTCTAGATCGCTTGGAAGCTTGTCGAAAGAGGCACAAGCCTCAGAGTTTGAGGAACTTCCGTTCGCATCTTCGCTGGTTCTATGGTGCATCCTTCGACGACCATCATGATAACCGGAGCTACCACTACTGCCATTGCTCGACGCGTCTGCCATGTTATTATCTGCTCACTAAGAGTAAATTCTTTCATAGAACGTGACTTCCCGAACGCATCTCTTATGGGACGACTTTTCACTCATTTAAGCAACCGTTAAGTTTTGTCAGCATCTAAAACATCTCCTGGCAAGAAACACAAAGGGCTAGTTAATGAACTAGCGCTGTAAAGCAGTGATCGGGTGCTAAATAAACTACTGTAGCAAAAAAAATTTACCCAGGACATATGGGCACACGTGACGAATACGAAGCGCAGAAAGTTCTGAACTGTTCAACGTTGAACCGACAAGCTCATATTACGGGGCGTTTTGTGAGCCCGCGATACAATTATCAGACTCGCTTGAACAAGGTTTCAAGATGGCAGGTAAGATTACTTCAAAAATCTTACATTATCAGCGTTATTTCCCCTCCAGTCGACTATCAGGCTAGTTCAAGGTTGACCCAATGAGTTGTTACTTGAAAGGAGTCCGACATATTGCCTCTGTGTTTCGTATCTGCGCCGAGAGCAAGCATGTTTATACGGGACGTTTATGGCTGTTGAAAGCCGGCGGCATTATGGTCTAAGTTGAATTTATCGGTAATTTCTCTTTTCAATCCAAAACGTGCCCAGTATTTGAAAGTATATAACATTATTAAATGTCATCCAGGACCTAGTTAACAAGGTAAACCGCCAGCACCTCTTATTTTTGAACATAATTAATATCATGTAAAAATATGTGCCGTGGAGTCCTTCATAAGCTTGTATAAACTAAGCTTAAGTTTATATCTGTAGCGTATACTCGCTTGGAAGGTGTTTGAAATTAAAGAGTTATACGCTGTAGGCTTAGCCCATAAACGCCAGAAAACATATTATGTAAGCTTGCACACTTTCAAACTCGAACTTTTGTCATGTTTGCAGCTTGTAGCATAATCTAGAAGAGCTGGCCTGGTGTGCATACTTTTGAAAAAAACCGGTTTTGCGGAAATTTTAGCAAACAAATTCTATAAGGAATCCCCTCTGCGACCATTTGATGCTATGCAAAAAAAAAAAAAAGAAAACCTCTGTATTTCCATGAAATAAGTTAGGAAAGCTAAGTGCACAGCTTAGTGCTTCTTTAATTTAAAATTACTGCAGCCTTTTTGATGCATCTTGCAATTATTGTAAAAGTACTTAAACATGAATGCAAAAAGTAGAGGGAATTGACTCTCCTGAACCAGGTATTGTCTTGTCCTTTTGGTTAGTAACCCATGGCAAAAATGTTACTTTTATTGTAATTTAAAACAACGCAAAATTGGAACTGAAGACTCAAAGGCAAGGGGTGAACATTTTTGAAAATGAAAATGTACAAGGGATGTGTTACTGTAACTTCTTTACCATATAAAAACCTAGGAGGTGTTATGAGCTCATTTATGTGTTAATGCAAATCCACATTGCATTAGAAATAATCTTTAAGGTGAGGGAAAAACTAAAGTAACTGAGAAAAAACCTTTCGCAGCAAACCATCAACAAATTAAACTACACTCATGGTGTCACATATGAGGCCCTGTGCAAGATTTTTTTAAGCTTTCCTGTTTCCAAAATCTTTGTAAAATGTTGATGGGTAACGCCTGTTTGCTTGCATGTAACCTGTGAACTTGCATTCTTTTATTTATTTTTTTTTTTTTCGGGAAGCATAACTGAGATCAAGCTCAGAAAGTACAAGGGGCTTAAATTCCCTCAGGCTTGTCATTTTGCTTTCCTGCTCAGACCTCTCTATGTTTTTTTATTTTTTTCGCATTAAAGATACATGTAGGTGTCATCAGAGGGCTTAATAATCCTCCAGTAATTCTCAGCAGTAAATAAGAACAAGCTGTTGGAGTTTACCCTCCCATTTCAGGGCTAATAATTTTTCATAAAGGTGTAATATTCTATTACTTTTTTGCAAAAACTTATAACTAGTTGGACCATTCAAATGTAATCTGTTTGTCATTACCTTCACATGATCTTGTTCTTTTTGCAGTATTCAACTGTGTAGAAATTGGATCTTATTTTTATGTGAAAAGCACTCTTGGGAGTTTGATTAAGGGTTTCACATCAATCCTATGGTATGGCATATGCCCTACCAGATTAAGTGATTCATTGACCTTTTCCTTGTTTTCCTTGGTTGAGTAAGCTACATAGCTTGACAGAGTATACTACTACTACTACTACCACTACCACCACTACTACTTCTACTACTTCTACTACTATCACAATTATCTTTGGACAATATCAACACAAAATCGAGAGAAAAGGGAATCAGAATCAATTAACTTGATCACCAGCACAGGCTGGGAGAAATGCTGTGACCTTTAATCAGTTTCTCTCCACTAATTCTGCAAGCAAATGTTGGATATCAGTCGTGAGAATCTGTATGAGGATAATGGGGCTTAAGGGGGTTAAGTTTTTGTAACACAACACCAAGTTAAAACAGTGATAATATTGTTTTAACTTGGGGGTGTGTTTTTAGACTTGGCTTCATGTTGGGGGGGCTGAGTTATTCAGCAATTAATACGTACGTGATTCAACTGAGGTGTAATTTTATACTCAGCCTTGTGCTTGCGGAAATTTAATCCAGTCAGTTAAGCTTACTACATTTAGCTATTAGTAATGAGTAAGTCAAGTGTACTTCAAAGTTTCAGAATACTAATATGACTTATGCGATTACAACCCACAGGGAAACTTATGCACACTATTGAAATTTCTCCGAAATGTGATGTTGAAATGTTATTGGTTTTTATGCTATAAAATTAATGGTTTCATTGAACGTCAATAATTACTGCAGAGACCTCTAGTTAATACTACAATACTAACCTGCAATAGCATTTCTTTTTAGTTTGTAATAACTAAGGTAATTTTTATTTTTAGATAATAATATGGAGGAGTTTTCCAGACTTAATCCCCCAGGGGCTACCACAGTCTGCATTCGGAAACTTACGTACCAGGCAAACTGCAATGTTATGGCTAGATGATAAAAATTTGGGATCAACTGAGGTTTTGGGAAACTGCCCACCTACCCCTCCCCTAAGTCAACATTAACACCTACTTCTCACTTAGGGCAAAATATTTACTTAGGGAAGGTTAGGTGGGCAGTTTTCCTGAAACCTAAATTGATCAATTTTGTTTATTTGTTTTTTTTTTCCAGATTCTGCTGCTTTGTCAAAAGCAGCTGCAAAGAATAAAAAAAGAGCAGAAAAAAGAAGAAAGGAAAGGATACAAAAGGTTAAGGAGAATGGTGGGAGGGTCTTGGAAGCTATGGAAATGAAGGATCCTGTTAGTATTCTTAGAGAACAGTTACAGGAAGCCAAGAATAATCAGGTAAGGTACAATTTAGGTTCCTGGGATACTGCCTACCTACCCCTCCCTGAACCCAACATTTTGTCCCAATTGAGAAGTAAGAGTTAACGTTGGCTTAGGGGAGGGGTAGGTGATATGTTGCCGTTCTTACAATAATCTACAACTTGATGTGACCAGTGTGCTCTCCCTTGATGCTATTTCATTTCCTTGTCAGTGCTTGACAAAAAACTGAAAGTTTAAAAACTTTGGAGAGTGGAAATTTTCTTGTACACGTAGTAAGATGTTAAATTCCCACTGAGAAAAAGACTTCAAGAGTCTTCGTTTCAACCACGGTAAAATGAAATGATGAAAACAGTAGAGCAAGTGTTTCCAGTTGTTTTGCTTAGTTTTTAGTCTCGTTGCGTGACCCAGAAATGGCCCAAATCGTACTCTCTGACTATGGTATCTACATGTAGCTTGTGGTGTTTTCGACATGATATTTTCGTCAAAGAGGAGGAAGGAGGAGTGGATAGTGAGACACTGAAAACTGGACTTTTGTTGCCTTTTAATCCACCTTAATGTTTCTGGATCTCACATAAAGCACTCTCTTTTGTGTTCTTTAAGAATTCTCAGATGATCAATAGTTTGTGAGTGCATTTTGACCAGAAAATCTTGCAAACCTTTGAATGGTCAGTGGTCATACTAAAAGACTTCATCCACGGGCCCAAAAGTTAGAACCACCTTGTACAGCATAATAAACAGTACCACAGGAAAGTACTGCTCAGTAGCTTTCATTTGAATGGTCACACTATAGGATTTCACCCACAGACTCAAAAGTTAGAACCACCTTGTACAGCATAATAAACAGTACCACAGGAAAGTACTGCTCCTGAGTAGCTTTCATTTGAATGGTCACACCATAGGATTTCATCCACAGACTCAAAAGTTAGAGCCACCTTATAGACTTGGATACTACCATGTCCATGTAAAATCTGGGTGTGGTCACATTTAAGTGGTGATATTTTAGTGTTTGCTTTTGTCGCTGAAACGCGCTTTAAGCAGTCGTCAAAAAAGCGGGCTTTCATATTTTCAGAATTTAAAGACTAAAGTTTTCGAACGGACTTTTTACTGGGTTTTGTTTGGCGATAATTTCTCCCACACAAGAAAAAAATCGCCTCTTCTCTTCCTCAATTTCTAGAATATAGAAATTGCCTTTTGGGTAGCACAATATTTAACGGCTTCACAGAGTATCTCCTTCGAAAGGCTTTTGACTAATTTTTGATTTAAAAAAACATCTGTAAAGCCGGCCTCTCGTACAAATAACGTGACCTTGGTCCCACATATTGCCGGGGAATTTAGCTCGCTTTGTTTTGAAAAGAATATCATGTCCGTTATGGTACGAAACCAGAAACGTTTCTCTGGCGCATTTTACCGGTGGGAGTCAACGCGAAGCATCTGAACGCTGCTAAAAAAAAATCCGCCGAAACGCAAGTCACTAATTTGAGTTCGGAACTTGCTAGAACTTTTGGAAACGAGACAGAAAATTCGCTGGATGAGTCGAGGAGTCTACCTTTCAGTCCTATAGATAGTGTAATATTCAGCTTAAAGTAAAGAATCAAATTATATCAACTTTCACGTGATGTGTTACAGGGACTGTACTAAAGGGGAGATCTTCTTTGACGGCAATGACAGGTATTCGTTTAAGAAGCGAGAAGGGTTATTCGGTCG